ATTGGAAACATGAGTCTGAGTGGTGAGCGTAGGAAGACAATCTATATCACAGATTAATTGACTTATTCTCAATCATAAAGAGCCTGATACACACAAAACATACTCAATTTCCGTCGGTCGGATATCATCAGCAACATCCTACTATGGGAGAAAACGAACCAACTTCCGGCCGAAGAGAAAGTTAGGAGAAGATATTGGAAGTGGGTAGAACATACTTTACCGAAATCGCCGAACTGCATCATGAGGCATGCGCTAGCTTGGAATCCTGGAGGTAAACGAAAAAGGGGAAGGCCGGAGCAAACACTACGTTGGGAGTTGGAAGTAGACAGGATGAGTAGCTCAGGACAGAGTTGGATAGAGAATGTAGGTGGCTGGCCTATTCTCCCCCACGAGGGGTAACGAGTGCAACTTGGGTTTTATCCGCTAAGACAAGTAAAGTTAAAAGTGGCGATCGCTACCGTTCGAAAAGCAATAATGTCCGCGATGTTAGTCTGAAATATAAACCAAACTTACTCAAACACCGCGAAGGGAATTTTATTTGATACACGAGACCATCTTTCGTCAGATTAATTTTGGCCTACCCTATCTCCTGATTTTAGGGAAATATTGAACAGAACCCAAAATTCCCCCTAAATATATGGATTTTATACCTCGGACAGTCCCAAAAAAACAAGTACTGCCACTCCTGTATAGACCGGGACGTTCAATGCCTACCCAGAAAAAAGAAATGATGAAACATTACCATCACCTTGGCACAGCAAGTGCGATGGAACGCTACAGGTCGGTAAGAAGTAAGTTTATAACTACAATCAAGGAAACTCAGCGAAAATGTGAAAAGCAGTTGACCCAATTGTAATCAAGTGGCCGAAGAGATTATTCTCGTACATAAATTACAGAACAAGGACGCAGTATTGGATCCCCAACCTAGTTAAGGAGGGGGGTGGACATAAAATGACTGACGGCAATAAGAAAAAAGGAGAGGCTATGCCGAAATATTTCGAGACAGTTTTCACTCAGGAACCTCTTATATATGAGAAAGTATACCCAAATACAGAGTCATAAAATCGTCTGCTCATTGTGGACTTTGGTCGAGACGATGTAATTAAGGTCTTTAGCAGAAAAGTCAACAGCACCGAATGAACTACACCCGAAACTCTTGAAACTAATTGCACAAAATATTACTACTCTACTGTCAAAGATATTCAATATGTCACTTGGCCAAGGAGGGTTGCTTGCGGATTGTTACTGAAATATATAAAACAGGATCAAGATGACTTCCATCAAACTACAGACCTTCCAGCCTGACCAGTGTTGTGGTTAAAATACTGGAAAGAATAATCAAAAATACCATAATGTCTCTGGTGGAAACCAAAAACAAGGCGTTTGCTAGATACCAGATCTGTAGAAAACTCCCAGCCATGTATTTTGCTGCACGGCATTTTTAACATTCTGTTGAAGACCGAGAATTCACTTTTTTTCGCCGATCACAAACTTCTTACTTTCTCTTTAAGCTCAACTCCAGACAAATAGCCCCCTGGAGAGTCTCGACAATTGGACTACATTTCGCAGTTTACTTCAGACATACAACACATTTCTGAGGCAAACAATATAGTTGCAGACGCTTTGTCTCGTACAGCTTCTTTCAACAGTTTCCAAGGAATCGACCTGCTTAAACTCACACAACTTCAAAAAGAGGACACTGATTATCAGCATAAGTTGGCTTTGACAATCCTGAAACTACGAGGGAAACAGATAGGAACATGCAAAGAAACTTTACTGTGCGACACATGTACAGGTGGCGACTGTCCGACGGTTCCGAGATACTATCGACGCAACATCTTCAGTACATTACACACACTTTCTCATCCAACTGTTCGTGCATCCATCAAGCTCATGACAGAGAGATTTTGTTGGCCTGGTATGAATAAAGACGTGAGGGATTGGGCACGCTTCTATGTGACTGTCAGAAATCTAAGGTGTTTAGACACAACAAATGTCCCTTAGGCTCATTCGAAAATCCTGACGCTCGTCTCGATCATATTCATCTGGATTTGGTAGGATTTTTCAAGATTCAAATGGATACTCTTATCTCTTGACCTGCGTAGACCGTTTCACCCGATGACTAGAAGCAGTAACCATCAGGGACATTACTTCTGAAACAGTGGCCCGCGCTTTCGTCGAACTGTGGGTAGCAAACGTCGGGTGCCCCTCAACTATCGCTACAGACCGTGGACGCCAGTTCGAATATGGACTTTTCTGTTGTCTGACTACACTATTAGGGATCACACGATCCCGAGAGACCTTCTACCACCCACAAGTAAACGGGTCAGTAGAACGCTTTCACCGACAGCCTGAAGCTTCACTATCAACTACAAAAGTTTCACAGTGGACTGACACCCTTCCACTCGTCGTACTTGATATTCACAATGCAGTAAAAGCTGATGTTGGATACACTGCGACTGAACTCGTTTATGGGATGACGATTTGACTTCCGCGAGACTTCCCGGATTTTTCATACTCTTCAGTGAATATGAATGTAAACTTTTTAGCGAACAGTCTTACATGCGCAAGCATTCAGTTGAACCTGTTTCCACTCGACAACAGCCAGCAGATGTTTTTGTTCAACCTGCCTTGTGATATAGTACGCACGTCTTGATGGTTACAGTTAGTCACTTTAACAACTCGAAACAGTACAAGAAGGACCCTTTAAAGTTCTTCTGAGTGAACCTAAGTGCTGTTTAATCGATAAGAACGGAACTAACTATAGTATCATTATCGATTGCATGAAGGTAACGTATTTAGTCGGAAACTCTACTCATGTCGATTTTCCTTCGGTAGAACCGAAAGACAAGTTTTACGTTTACGATACCTCGTCAGATAGCCAACAGACATGATCTTACTTTGGAGGTATCTGAAAACAGACTCAAAACTCTTAAAGGAGAGGAAGGGTTTCAGAACATTAAAACGATTATTGCATGTAAGACACTAAATAACATTTTGTTTCATTTCGATTTTTCTTTCTATTATGTTAAGAAAACAACCAATTTTGATATGCTCGTATATATTCCAGAAAACAGAATTTCTGTTACTAATATAGTTGATTATATGCGAATATTTCTATCATTTTGAAAAAAGAAAAAAAACTACTCTGTAAAATTCGTTTTTGCGCTGTTGTGTGTTTACGAAACGCATGAATATGTGTTTATTATGCTTTTTTGCCGGCTTCAAAAGTCTTGTGGTTATGAACAAATACCACTACAAAGTCATATCAAGATTTACTTTTCTTTTTCTAAATGATGATGTCGGTTACTGAATTTACGAAACCATGTATATTACAAGAAGAAGTGAAAAGTCTCTCATTTGGATATTTGTGAGTCTGCAGATTTGATACTAATGCACACTCACATGATCATCCTAGATTTCCAATAGACCTTAATGACTCAAGCTGCATGCAACTAATGTATCGTGTTTAGCTTCATAATAACTCAATTGTTTTCATTGGAAAATATAACATCAGCACACACTTGTTGTCTACATATCCTCGTACTTCTCAGCTCATGCTCATTGCGTGTACTTGAATATGCATGTCTATCATTCATTTTCATATCCAATGTTTGTCTATTTGCCGTATTGTCCATGATCTACTTCGGGTCATGTTAATAATTGTAGTGAACAGTACAGTGAGTTGTTACGTTCGCTTTCTACGGTCTACTTCTCCGCTTCGTTTCCCTTACCTGTATCGGGAAGCTGGTGCATGAAATATTCATGTCGGAAGTTCATTCTCGCACTCAACTTATTTCGCTATTTTCTAACGAGAATGAAATCGATATCGCCGTACGATGATAGTCGGCACCTTTATTTCGTTAACATTACCAAGCGATCAAGTTGGGATCAGATCAACAGGTCTCCCTAAGCCCATAGAATTGTGAGGTAAACGAACCGGTGGCTTCAGATGCCAGAGGAAATCATCAATGATGATTGATTCACCTTTGACATTTTCGGGATTGTAGTCAGCAAGCATTCGGTTCTATTAGCAAGATATCTTTCCATTGGCTCCCTAGAGAACGTTACAGCAAAATTAAGTACGGAAAATTATTGATCAATGTGTAAAGTTATAATAAATCTTTTTTTAGATCATAAAAGTGGAACTCATGTTTATATTATAGAAGCTGCGTTGAATAACTACATGGATTGACAGCATAAGTGACTGTTGATTTGACCTCCTTGAAATTATAGTCAGAAATTGGGATTTAGTCATATACTGGTTAGTTTGGATTTCCATATTGTGAATAATGATAAAAAAGAATGCAAGGCTACAAAAGTGTTATGGAGGATGCTATCCACGGTCTTTACGTCATGTATTCATATAAAAATAAGTGGTCTACATATTCTTCAGTAGTTCGAAGGTTCTGTATTTCCGCCTATCTACCTGGGAGGAATTCGCGGCATTTTCACCAGAATAAATTAACTAAGCATATCATTTTGAAGAGTCTAGCCAACTCTTCAATCGTAATGTTTATAATTTAAAACAGCAAGAACATCAACCTGTAAATAGAAGCTTCCCTCCGTATACAGGTACAACTACACTCATTTTCTGTAATATGGAATTTAATGTTTAAACACTGGACGCTTGGAAAGCATAGTAAATAAGAGACTTAGAAATGAGTGCTTGAAGCTAGTTCAAGCTGATGTTGGACATTATTATTCGGATTAGTTGAAAAACTCAAACATGAGAAATCTAACAGTTCTGTTTGAAGTCCAGTAAACTATGATGAGCATCTAAACTTCAACTTGCAACAATTACCTCAATTTATCTCTCTTTTCTTCGAATCAGAAAAAGATATCCGAAGAAAGTAAACATTAAATGTAAACTTCCTGTTTTGTTTATTCAACTCAACTTTAATTAACCTATGCGTAGTGTTGGTTTTAACTTTACTGGCTATGGATTATTATTTTGTAGAAGTATATAGGACGCCTTATTATTAGAAAGCCCTCATAAGATGGGTAAGAAAACATTTCTTATGGTTTGCTGTGATGTTTTGCATTTGCGACCAATGGTTACTCAATTTCCAGACAAAAAACGAGATATACATAACAATGTTTTTGTTCATGATGTAAAAAACATGATGCATGTTCCATAAATTGTGAAAGACCTTAATGAAAGTTGAATGTATACTTCATACTTGTTTGGATAGTTTCTGAGGTATATGGTAGTTTTGTTGATCATATGCAAACACTCGTGGACCGAATTTGATCGGTTCAGGGTAATGCCAGTTAATAGTGAAGAAATCACGAATTAACCATAAAATTCGAGATTTGTAAATTAGTCCGTGGCATTAGTATGTTAAGTTCAAAATTTCTTAGTTGTGTCGGGGTCTTAGCAAAATTTAATTCATTGTTAATTTGTAGTTTATTTATCTATTATTTATTTAAACACATAAACATTGGTACAAGGAGGCACCAAGTAGATATGCACCACATTAATCATTCGATTTGTGTAAATGTTGTGATACTGACCGGGTACCCAGACCGAAGCAAGTGGTTTTCTCAGGGGGCCACACCCCGAGCCTTTGACCTAAAGGTCTGACCCATAAGGCAATGGAGCATCGTGAGGAGATGCAGTATCATGGTAGCCGGTGACAAACGATTCATACGCCATTTAATCCTTCAGGATCCTGGAGCCCATGTGCACAATTGATTTGGTTTGGGATCTGGTTAAAGCGCCGGACATTCGCTTTTCGTCCTCTGATTTTCGTAAACAACACCCCGTGGTGCGAGAAGGCAGTGAATAGAATTTCCCTGGCAGAGGCTGTATACGCGTGGCCGTGTGAGAGCATTTTTAGAGGGAGGGCGGGCGCACCCCACTCTCGGCCATACCAGGGCATTTGGGGGCCGTTAATTTGTAGAATATTTGTTGGTAGCTATCTTCAAATTTTTCTTTAGGTACTTTGATGATTGCTAAAATCAAAGGCTGTGATTTTGGTTGGTTCATTATATTTTTAGATCTGATAATTGTACCATTATTTTTAAGAACCAATATATTTGGAACATTTTTTGGTTTTTTAGTTTAGGTCCTTTTCCCCGATGTACGCATCCCATTAGTAGCTGTATGCATGTCTCATGAAATGTCTGACGGTATTACCTAATCACAAAACACTTCTGATTATGGTTTTATTTTCAGCGACTAGTGAACTAAAGTTGTGATTCAAAGCGTTTTGCGTATAGAATATTTCTGAACTAGTTTGAGGGATGACTGGACAAACATCTTAGATTTCAGATTTACATTCTTTATTGAGGACAGAATCCTTATGGCGTGTGTTATTCCCCTTTTATTAAACTCTTGTGAGTGTCTGACCTAGTTTTGCATGAGTCATTTGAAGATGCAAACACTCCTTCCGGTAGTAGGTCCCAAGAGTTTATGGCTATGTGGGAAAATCTGTATGCCATGCATATTTCGTTCGTTCTTGGGTTCTGAACTCGCCTACTCTGTCCTTTGAGCCGTCCTGATCTTTTGGGAGGAAAATAAAAAGGTTCAAAATCATTTCATGGTGTTCGTTACATCAAAGTCAAATAACCTCTTGATCTGCAGTAAAACAGAGTAAAAAGGTATAAATTCCCAAAGAATCCTGTGTATTGTTACGATTACGAGTTCACCTAGTCTGCGAACGAAACAAAGACTCGGTGAACAAAGATCAGTAAGCTAGCTATTCTGATGCGTCCCAGACCCGCTAGCTAGAGAGAGAGAAGTTCAAGTTTGAGACGGGGAAATATATTTTACAAGCAACCAGAAGCACGAGCAATCCCGACCAGTCTAGTCGGAAATACACTCATTTATATATTGGTTTGTACACCCATTTTTGATTAATAATCAAAAGTCACATATATGAAAGATACTTCATACAAAAACATCATATGTTATACAAAACAAAATGTCATAAGGGAAAACGAAACAAATACTATACTGCGTGATCATCAAATTGAATTAAACGGAATTAATGTTGAATAAAAATCATAATGAGTAATCAATCTACTTTGACTTTTCATCCCGTCATAACAGTTAATCTCTGAATTTGCACGGATATCTGTTTTTCGTACTTCTAAGTTATGGGAGTCACATTGTAAACTGAGGCCTTTAGCCTGGGATTGGTTTTCAGATTTAGATCTCACCAAGCTTGCGTATACCGTAGCCATCATACTTGTACCAACTTGAGAAATATCCATCTTAAGACCCATATTCTTCCAAACTCCTTATCTCAAAACGCACGCCAGTGGACCATATTCTTGTGGTTGGGAGTCACTGTTACCCCTAGATTATCACGTGACAAGACGGACATCTCCCTAATACTGTAGTTATTTACCTGTGTATCCACTGTGCATATAGACACTTGTCCGGCTCAATAAATATCAACCACAGTTTAGACCAGCTAAATGAAACGTCTATATCAGTCTTAAGTGCACATACATCTGTATTCCCCGTTACTTCTCATCGGATTTTGATGTCTTTAACACAAAATGGTATTAGGGGCACCAAAATATTCGAGAGTTCATTCAAGTACAGTACGAAAAGTAAAGGAACTACAGCTGAGCTTTGTGTTGCTTCATTCCTGTTTTCTGTCGTCGACCTACCGGCAAGTTACTGATCCCTAGATTTGCCATCACCATAAGGAGTTTGCTACGCGTCACCTCACTAAAATGCTTCTCCGAAGTCGGTTCAAACAACGTTCGTTGGTATTCCATTGTAGTCCTTTAGCTTCTGATTTGCTTCGTTTGCTGTAGTTTTCATAATTGTTCCTCTAATTTTCATCGATAGGTCATCGGAATAGGTAGGGTGTAAGCGGAATATTGATTTGATTAAGGCACGTTCTGTGCACTCCTATTGGCTATTTTTTATCCAATCAGCGCTAGTGGATGCTTGAAGAAGACTCTGGAATCTTATGTAAAAACTATTAATATACTAACGTTTTTCCTAATGTGCTTCCTACTTCCATCTACCCTTGTTATTTGGAATATAATTTCGTTCCTGCTCTACCGTGTTCTGATTTGGGGACTTGTCGAGTCAAGTAGTGTCCAAGATTACTAAGCAATAGGAATAACTTGGTCGTGACATGAGAAATTATAACAGGGAAATAAATGAAGTACTTAGTAAATCGTTTGATAACGTAAAAGGAGGTCATACTGATTCAACAAATAGCTCTCAATACTCTCTGGCGGAAATATTACATAGCTTACAGGAAGCTATCAGTGTCATATGCGAATGTGCATTCTGCTGTATTTGTATAATTGGCTTACGAATATTTTTATATTAACGAATTATTTGAATATTCAAAGTAATGTTTCATTGCAAATCAGATCCAATCTTTTTAACTATTTAATATTCAAAATACGACTGAAGTTTTAAAATATTATTTACAAGATAGTTCTATGAAACCACCATATTTGCTTTAAATGATAAATCATATAAGCTGAAAGCAAACAAATTATTGGGGCACTTGGTATCACCTCTCAGTTTGCGCAACGAATTTTCAACTGGCTGATTTAACTGTCAATAAGGACTCAGTAGCTAAGTGGGTAACGCGATGGTGTTTGGAGCAAGCGGTACTAGGTTCGAGTCCCAGAGTGGACATCAACTCTCGGATGCAGGCACATCCAACTGACGAGTCCTAAACAGGACTAAACACGCGTCCTGGATTCTACCGCTAGCCATTATCCATCATAGACCATAAATACCCTGGTACGGCCGAGGGTGAAGAGAGTCAGCTCTCCCTCTTGAAATGCCCTCATAAGGCCACGCGTATACAGCCATTGCCAGGGAAGTCACACTCACTGCCTTATCGCGGAGGGGGTGTTGTTTAAGAAACTGAGAGGACGAAAAGCTAATGTCCGGTGCTCTGACCAGGTTGGTGAATATGGAGGATCCACCTAGGAGAGTGGGAAAACCCTGATTCCAAACTAATGGTGCACGTGGGCTCCAGTATCCTGAGTGAATAAATGGAGTATGAACCTATTGTTAGTCACCGGCTACCATGTGACTGCATCTCCCGACGCATTTCGTTGGATTTTATTAGCATTGATTATTTTTGGCTTCAAGAGTAAATGCCCAGTTAAATCTTATTTATTGTCATTAGCTTATACAGGAGGCCTATGAAATTCAACATAACTCAGGAATATAAATTTTGCGAGTTTCCGGTAGTTCAGAATGTTGTAGCAAAATCACTTAATATGTAGATTATGAGGAAACAACATACCTTCTACTAAGAGCTGTACGACAATTTGATAATTTTATTTAGTTAACCTATAGGTGCTGGTAAAAAATCCTTCAGGTGTGTGATACTCGTAGCTTTATGCCATGTCAGTGGAACTATTCGTGACAACTTCACTTATCTGGAAGTCTGATCAGCCCTAATGGGTTGGTGTCTGACGAATCTCAGCACGGATTCGAAAGCTCGTTTGGCTTTTGCCAACTTACGTCACCTTTGGCGGAGGCGAGATATCCGTCTATCAAAAAGGACGAGTATACTGCGCGGCAGTTCGTTTTAATTTACGGCAGCGAAACATGCCCTTAAGAGTAGAAGACACCCGTAAGCTACTAGTTTGACCACAGATGCCTTAGAAATATGCTGGCATCTGCTGGGATCACCGGGTAAGTAATAGTGAGGTTAGACGCAGGGTATTAGGAATGATGGTAAATCAGTTGAGAGGTTATGAATCTTCATCGACTGAGATGGTTGGGCCACGTGTTACGTATGCCTGAACACGATTACCACGACGTGCAATGCTAGCCGGTGTAGGGATGGTTGGAAGAAAGTTAGGGGCGGCCAAACCAAAACGTGCATCAGTGCCTGAAGTCACTACTTGTAGTCTGAGCCATGTTGGTAGATGCAGACACTTGGTTGGGGTCGCGTGACTTCGTAACCAATGGTTGGAGACTCTTGGTGACATGGCTCAGAATCGATCACAATGGCGTCGGTGTATACACTCCCTGTCTTCCCTTAAACTAGAGATTAAATCTTCATCTTTCTTTACGAACTAATTCTTTTTCCTATACTATATCCTTATTGCAATCCTATATATTACCACCTTGAATTAACTACTTTTATGAATCGGTGTCATCTTGCTGTGCTAATGAGGTATGGCAACCTGGACCGATGCACATATGTGCCTGGTCCTACGTGTAGCTGACTGACTGACTGACTCAACCACTAGTTCGTTGATTTGAAACCCTCTCCACCTACTTCAGTTTAATTCAGTTGGTATTGTTTTACTTGAATCTTCCCATTGATGTTTTAGGACTGAAATTGATCGGTCTCTTATTGGCATATGTGCATACTGTGCGTATGCCTCGATATTGCCTTAATTTACAAGAGACTGATCAATTTAAGTCCTAAAACATCAATGGGAAGATTCAAGTAAAACAATACCAAGTGAATTAAACTTCACCCCATTACACAAGCAAGTGGTTATCAGGACTCAGTAGCTAAGTGGATAGCGCGATGGCGTTTGAAGCGAACGGTACTGGGTTCGAGTCCCAGAGTGGACATCAACTCTGAGATGCATGTACATCCAGCTGACGAGTCCCAAAAAGGACGAAACGCGCGTCCTGGATTCCACTGCTAGCCACTATCCATCTTTACTTATAATCCTACTTCAGTTTGTTCACCGGAGTAGTATCACTGGACCTAATATCTGAAGTGTAGCTTAAAGCCAAGCACAACAATCCGTACTCGGTAAACAAGTCATATTACTGTTAAATTTATGGATTATTTCAACATAAGTCACTCCAGAGTATGATTCTGTGGGAATAGGGTTATAAAAAGTATCTTTATAGTTATTCATCTGTAAACAATTAGGGACCTAATCCTACGAAAAACAACATTATGACGAAATAATTTTGTGACCGAATTCAAATTATTCATGGTTTACTGCATTAAATCCCAGATTTACAATGGAAAGTCAATCGTACGTTGATGTTTAAATGAAGCGATTTTGTACATCATGTTAGTTTTATGATTTACTCTATGTTGGCGGAATCTAGATCCACTTTAGCGATAATTCTTTGTCTGAATGTTTAGCAGCAATATTTTACCAACCAACTCTCATTATCAGATTTCCAACCAAAGTGGAAACATTCTGATAATTTAGGTGGCGAAAATGCTTGATATCAACTACGTGAATTTCTTTCTGGCTAGGTTAATGAAGTTCTATCAGTAATTAAAATGGTTTAACATAAAAGTTTCCCTGTTAATTAACATGAGTTATTTTCTGCTTGCTGTTAAAGTATCCACTCTACATAAGCATATTAACTGGTTAAGCTTTAATTTTTTATCTCAGTACCTTTTGGCACCGAGGACGAAATAAATAGATCTTCACACTTCGTTGGATTGATTAGTACAAATCATGCAAACCGTTACTCCGTTAGTGAAGAACTTTGTTGCTGATGGATTATTGATCTGAGTTTTGTGAATAGAGATTATGTACTTGAGTCTTTTTCGGGTCTCACAGGCAACTGAAACTGGAGTGGGGGTATATCTACTTTGTTACGTCCAATGATGCTATTAAACTGCAACAATCACACTATATGGGGCAGTTAAAAACTGTAATTGAGATCTTAAATAACAAGTGTCTAGACACCGCATGTGTGTACTTATTTTTTATCTTCTAAATACTCGCCCATCCTAATAATTTAGTTATGATTTAATGTAAAGAGTAACCTTTTGGACACAAGTCAGAATAATGATATGTACATAGTGTTGTGTTGTCAGTTGCATTCTTGGCACTGGGTTTGTTTTCCACTATGAACAAGCAAAAATTTCTAACGTATGTGGAGGTAGAGTACTTACCATAGTAAATAAAATTTGGCAATACACTCGAAAGAATTGTATGAATAAATGTATATTCTAGGAAATATGGAGATATTTTCATTTCAATGGTACACAAAACTATAATAGCATGTCTGAAAGTAATAATAAATTGAAACTATTTCATAAATATCTAATTTGTGGAAGTAGACTTTTTACAAATGACAGAGAAGTAGAGAATATAAGGGAGAGATAGATGCACCAGACCGTTTATCGAATTGACGCTGGAGATTTCAGTACCTTGTTTACTGAGCGGCAGATAAGGGTCTAAAGTAACCAACGCTCAGTCATTCAGTTGCAAACTAGGGTACTAGTCGGTTTATATACCTAAGTCATCTTATTATTACTTCTACTTGAGTGCACAAATCTAATGTTTGTTAACACGCTGCTTCGATTCAAATTTTAAAAATGCAATTTATAGCTAGTGATTTAAGACTTTGTATGGTTGTAATTAATTAGTAGTTTCACTAGTGTTGTTTGAAAGAATAGTATTATCTGGAATTATAAGTATAGACGAATTGCGTGAATTTAGCTAGATCCCGTTGTTTCAGTCATCATTTTGGGCTGTAAATGTTTCATTACTAGGTTAGATTTGAAGTGCTTGTTATTATTTTGGCAATGATGTAACTAGTTTACCAAGTACATGTTCGTGAACTCGATTTCGAGGCACGTTTTGAGCAGAGCTTACTAATATCACTTGGCTGCCTAAGTAAATTCAGAGTGAGCGGGACTCAAATCTGCGACCTAGTGGTTGAAGTTTTAAAGGTTAAAATTACTAAACCATTGCCCCAATATCCAGTTATCTAAGATTTTTATTGATAGTGTCTAACTAGTTTGGCAACCGAAACTATATCATAAATAAGTCAATTCACATTTCTGCGGAGTTATATCGAGTACGCTATTGAGCAACTTAGCCAGGGAGGTTCTTAGCATATTCCTACTTTTTTTTGACAAAAGTCAAGTAAACTTGCTAATCAGCGTTGTCGATAAAACTTTGTATTTGCTGCTTAATCTATTAACTACAGTTATCTCGGTTGCGTATATACTGACAAAATGTCATTTGTTTGAATATCTCACTGTTATTTGTTTGATTGTAAAAGTTGAATTAACTTTATTAGTCAATATTTATGACAATCGTTTAGTCCTGATTTTCTCATTACAAGAAATCAGTTGGTTTTAGTGAGGCCTAGTCAAGCACACTGAAAACAGCTTAGAAATTTACATCAGTTACATTGTTCTAACTTCTAGTAGGATATTGCTAATGATGCAGAATTCCCTAACGAAATGTTCAGTCATCTTGTATAGCTCTAATTCTTTTTAAAGATAACCATAAAATCAAATCAAAACGTGCGTAACATAACAAACAAGTACCAAGATTTTTTTTTTACACCATTAAGTAGAAATAAGGTGAAGCAAGGAAAAGTTTCGATTTCTTTATTTTACTGATCAATGGACACATGAATCTTTCTTTAAAAAGGCCATTCATAGACATCGTTCCACTATTACAATTACTACTGTTATTATTAACAATAATAATTCATTTCAAATGTATAATCAATTAACTTTTCATTTATCTCACTGTAAAAATCTTTAACTCGTCAAATGTTTATAATTATAAAATTTTGGTTACTTTTTATATTCTTATCCATTTACTTTTAGTTCGGTTGCCATAGTAACGATATTTTACATCATCTTGATAGGTATTGAGTAATTATAGTACTAAGTAATTAGTTAATGTATTATTCTTATTGATTAAGCTGATTATAAATTTCCTTTAAAACTACTTTTATTTTATTTCCATCTTTATTTTATTGTAGTTAAAGTTTATTGTACGGTATGTCATAAACGATGTAAAGGTGATGTATTGAAAATTGAACAACAATTTGTTCACTACAAATGTTTTCAATGTATCAGTAAGTTAAATAATTTTTAAAAACAAAAAAATTGTAACCATATTTATTTGAATAGAATGTCGTAAAAATTTAAAACAAGGTGGATTTTTTGTTAAAGATAAAAATTTCTATTGTCCAAATGATTATCAAACAGAATTTGGTTGTAAGATGTGAAACGTGTCATGGTTATGTAGAAGGTGAAGTTGTTACAGTATTGGGGAAAACATTTCATACTCATTGTTTTCGTTGTACAACATGCAGGTTCGTTTCATATTTCATTAATATTCATACATATAAACTCTCATTTGCTCGTTATTATTTTTTGATACCAACGCTTAATCGGTGAATGTTTTGTTTTTTCAACTAGACAACATTGTCACTAGAGTATTTATGGAAACTGATTTTACGTAGAGTATTCGTTGACCATCTGGTTGTAATCTGAAGCTATTATAGAGTAAAGCTTGATTCATTTCCCTTTTATTTCATGCAACCGTTAACCAGAAATACAACGGTATAATTTTAATAAATTTATTGGAGAATTCTTATTGAATACAATCTTTTCATTCATTTTTATCATTTGTATAGGTGGCAGATGTTAACAAAACTAGACCTTTCAGCTTACAGTTTTTCTGTAATACAATATCCAACTAACATCGGATGTAAAGATAGACCCAGGATACGTTTGTGAAAATAATTTTCACGAATAAATTAAAATTGTTATTTTGAGTTCATGAACTGATCAATTTAAGTCCTCCTTTGAAAACATGGAAGCACTGGATAGCGGTTTCGTTTTAGTATGAGACTCCCCGGCAGTCGCATCCACGATACTACACTCGGGATTCGAACCCAGAACCTTCGATCTCGCGCGAACACTTAACGTATAGACCACTGAACCGGCATCCAATGATGTTAATGTCTAGTCTCAATCAATCCACGATCTTGCACGGCCATCTTCCAGTGTCTTTGGTGGATAACTGCCTCACACCCGACGGGATTACACTCCACTGGCCCATATCACTGTAGTGTCGTTTAGTGACTTTTCACAAGTAGGAGGTTAAAACAACCGTGCGAAACAGTCTATTTCATTCTTACGAACTGTTCAAGACAGTGATATATGGTCATACTCTGACTTCCAAGTTTGAAGAAATAATAATAAGTTTTTTACTGTCATAGAATGCCTGCTATTGTTAAGTAATATAATTTTCGCTTTTAAGGTTCAACTGACTAGTAGCGTTTTGCCGCCTTAGTTTTTTTTTAAAACCAATTTTCTATTTACTAAAGTTGATTTCAGTATAATTCAATAGTTCTCCTACGATGAATTATTTTCATGGCTCCAAGCATAAGATGATATTATTATTGGTTGAAAAACTAGCAATACAGAACGGTTGAAGTGATCATCTTACTAACTGAAGTTTTGTAGAGTCTAAAACAATAACCTTGTAACAACTAAAACGAGTAGTAAATATACGCAATAACCAACGGCATAGAGTCCTATTATCATGCTGTAATTAAAACTTTCAATCAACTAGTAGTACAATGAAAGTCCAACAGGCTCTATTAATTATACTGTCATAAATCGTGTCCACCTTAATTCCACTATCAAGAAAAAGTTTGTATATATGCCTTAGAGTCGTACTGTGAGGGATGTTGATACTATCCAGTTCCCTAAAATAAAGTAGATGAAGCCTGTTAAAATCATTCAACTTAATAATGAAAAGCTGAGTGAATTAGCCACTCGATCATCGTCACACAATTCTGTCTATATTTACCAAATCAGCATTTAAATTGTGATACCTACCGTAAACAAAATAGTTAGTAATCTAGTTTTTATTTGGAAATTCAGGGATAAAATTAGTCTTACTTTAGTGGATCATGAAAACCAATAACTAGTCTCATGGCATAACTCTAACTGAGTTAAGAAGGTTATATAGAAAGGTGAATTCATGTTATATCAAGATTATTTTTACTGACTTTTATGATCTAAGTATTTTACACATATATTGTGTTTATGTTTTAAACAAGGACACTTTTGAAATTGATACTAGATATTTCGTTTCCAGATTTTTTTCCGTTGCAACACCAGTGAACATACTAGATGAAATGATCAATTATAAGATGTATTTTATACAAGTAATTGATGTGAATAGCTTCTTTTAGTAATTGCTTATTGTGTTAGTAATTTTAGTGTGTACTTAAATGCTTTGTATCATTTCTTGTGTTTAATCTTTGTTTTTACTTCAGACGTTTATTCAATTCAGGTGAACGAACCACCATCGTGGATGGATCTTATTATTGTATGTCATGTTCATCAAATCTTACAAATGGTGATGTACTGCATAAAACTGTCGATGGTAACGCCCGTGATAGTAGTGCTGCGGCTGCTACTATTACCAATGGATCGAATGGTGTCTGTTCTACTTCATCTTCTCCATCATCTAATTCTCCTTCATCAAAATCAGATCACTTTAATCCATTGTCGTTGTCAACATCTGGTCATCAGTCACAAACATTACCTACAATAAGAACTTCTCCCACTTCTACACCAATACGTCATTCAGTTAGTCATACTGACGGTAATAACACTCAAAATTATAATCATTATCAACAAAATCTCATTTCTGACGCTAATCTTAAATCATTTACATCTCTTAATGATCAACTAAGTGTACAAATTCATGAGAATGGTGTTCAAGTAAGTTTGCTCTTGAGCTTTTATATGATTAGTATACAAACAAATTTTCTTTTCTGGACTACTTTATTTTACTGTGAAGAGCGATCTAATAAAACTGTTTAAGAATTCTTAATTTCGCAATATGGATATACATTAGTTTAAGTTTCGGTGGAGTAAACTTATTCATTTATTATCCTTGATGTGTAGAATATCGTGCAGGATGTAAACCTCATATACCCTCATCTAAAGTTATTTTCTCTAATTCCTGAACACTACAGGTATTCTTATTATTCTTATTATCGTTCTGATGTATGATTTAGTTACTTGAACAAATATGATAATTGAATACCGTATTGTTACTGTCAGATAGTCTTGAACCTAGACTTTTCACTGGTTTGTATTCATTATCAAGGTGTATCTCAAGTTTTAACGAAGATATTGATACTTTCTATGGAATTCAAACCCATTTTACTCCCTATCAAAATCAAAGGCGTTACCACTGAGTTATTCACTTGAATTAAATAACTGGTCATGTCATGTGAAAAATAAACATAAGATTTGACTATGTCAGCATATTCATTGAATCTATTCACTCTTTATTACTATTGATTAGTTAAGACATGTGATCAGTCAAATATAAATTTTTGGAGTACAGTGGGTTCAGTAAGTATTGAGTATTTTAGATCCAATATTATGTGTAAACTACGTAATCATGAAAATATAAATTATATTACTGTTTGTAAATAGTTTCCAAAATGTATAATATGTGAAATAGCCTTTTTTTGGATTAAATAGGCGTTAGTAAATAAAGAATTTGCTATTTAGTTAGTTTACAAATTAGTTCGATATTCAAATGTAGAAAGTTGTACATTAGAATGAAGCAATGACTTTTAAAAAAAATCATTAGGTTTGAATATTTTTTTCTGGTTAGCGTTTTTTAGCGAGTTAGTTTTCTACGGGATGGGGTCGCTAACCCCATGCCCAACCCTCCTCCTTTATCCGGGCTTGGGACCGGCAGTAGCCCCTGGAGGGACTCCACGCGAAGTTTTAAAAAATCATAGTATTCATTTAGTTTAAACAATACGACTTACAGTTGTTGGAACTTCTTATTTTGTTTAAATCTATGGATGAAGCCAATGTCATTGTGACTTATTTTACCTTTAAAAATGAGTTCTTTTTCAAGATTGGATATGAGTTAATCAAGCATAGCAATATAATTAATCCAAACTTGCTTCATATTAAAATACTAATTGGTTTATTGTAAACTCGTGTACTTGTTAAAAGATGGAAAGAGAAAAGTTGTAAGGCGGTAAAATAAAATTGAGTTAACTGATTGAACATGTAATAGTTTATATTTCGCATTGAATGTTGTAGTTTAAAAATGTTTACTCTAACTAATCAACTGATTATCGACAGTATATCGGTTTACATACATCTTATTTCCAGTAACTGATTCATAAATTTTCAAATAATACTCTTAGCAAAGTTTAAAAGGGCAAGTGATATTAAAAGTTGTTTTTGCACAATAAATACATTTCACTACTTAACACACAGTCATACCATTTAACATACCAAAAATTAAAGCTCAAATCAAAGGTTGAAACCCTCAGCTAGTAATTCATAAAAGTATATTAGATAAAGCAATATTATTTCTATGAACTATATCGATAACTACTGGTTTTGACCATCTCGCTAATGCTACCCGAAAGTTCCTTAAGCTTTTCAGATTGTTGAGGAAAGCAATAACAGGCTTGAAAAAATAGTGTGAATTCATTATGATCACAAAGGATTCCAAATAAATTCACTTATGTATTTTCAGTTCATTTTATAAGTTTGGCCTTCAAATATTTCAGGTTGTTAGCTGTTGATTAGAACCTGACCAATATAACACGAGTTCATATTATTCTGCTCAAATCTTTGTTCTTGCTCTCTCCAAGATAATAAAGACGATTGTGAATCTAGTTTTCAATTTGTCTTTGATCGACAAACAATAAATTAAAAAAACCCAACTGTTACTTGATCTAATCTCTCAAAATCTTATTTCATCCTGAAAATGATACATCATAGTTAACAGCGGTTTGTTACACTTGTAACACACTGTTTACTTTTATATGATTTAATAACTTGTATGAGAGTAAATTGGAAAAAAGCTGAGGACGACCAAACCAAGATGAGATATCAAGATATCGACTGTCGGATTGATGTTTTTAATACTTCAAATGCTTTGGTGTTTGTCTTGATAATTTCATACTACTCACTGCCTTCTCGCAGAGGGGGTGTTGATTACGAAATTGAGAGGACGAAAAGCTAATGTTTGGCGCATTAATCGGGTTGGTGGACATGGAGGATTCACCTAGGGGAGTTGGAAACCCTGATCCCAAAACAATGGTACAAATGGGCTCCAGGATACTAAGGAAACAAATGACGTATGAACCAATGGTTGGTCACCAGCCACCATGGGACTGGATCTGCTAAAGTTGCTCCACCGCCTTTTGGATTAAACCTTTAAGTCAAAGGCTTCGGGTGTGACCCCCTAAGAAAACCACCTGTTTCGGTTTGGGCACCCGGGTAGTATCCCAGCCCTCAGACATATCAAATGAGATTTGTGTTGCGCATATGTATTTGGTGCCCTTTTGTACCAATGTTTATGTGTTTAAATAAATAAATAAATTCATCGTACTGTGCTGACTTGATGTGACATCTTTAACCTAATCCTACATGTTCCAAGTTTCGCTATGTTTATGACTGGCTTAGGGAATACATCGTTTATCTTATTTATAACAAACTAATTTGACCAAATTACTCATAATTCTTTCAGTTTTATTTGTTTGATTACTTTTCAGTTCCTGGCAGTGAATACCATAAACAGAAGTTAGAAGTAAGTTAGCTAACTTGTTTTTTATTCAGTATTTCATTTTCATTTATAAGCATATAACTCCTCCACTGATGGTTACGAGATCTTAAATGAAAAAAATCAATCCTATATGAGGTTATGGATGCATATTACTAAAGGAAAGCCAGTCATAAACTGTGATAAAACAATGTTCAGTCAGTTCTGAATGGTTTTCACTGTGTTTTTTTCAATCGATTTAAACAGAAACATTTTCAGTTACTCAGGGTAACAGTTTTCATTTAAAATGATACATCATTTATTTTGTTCATGAACATTATTAATTGACCGATAATTCTATTTGTTTATCATCATTCATTCTTTGTACACTCAATAATAGAGTATCCTTTAAATGTGAGTATGATGAAATTATACAGATTAATTATAGAAGATGAATATCTAATCTTTGAATAATCGAATTGATTACTGACTTAGAAGAATCTATTCCCTTTTATATTACTAATCAAATCTATGATAGAGAATAATAAGTGATTATCTAATCATATCTAGGGATTTACACAATGTATTTATTATATTCTACAAGTATGTACGTGATAATGCATACACATTTACGGACAGATTATTATTATTATTGTTACTACATGAAAATTAAACGAATGATTAGGTTTTAGATGAATGTGGTTTAAATTGAAGATAAGGTTAGAAAATTTCTTTAATTAAGTTTATAAAAATTGTTCACTGAACGAATTGAGTTGTTGTTGTTGTTTTTTTCTGTTACAAAGATTTGGACTGAACTAGCGATATTGAATTCACTGAATGATGTGAATGTCCTCAAAAATCTATCAGAATATTAATCATTTAAACTCGTTGAATAAACAATAATTCTTACATTACACAGTGGATTAGTGAACGTAATTGTAGCGTTTGAAATGATGAATACTGGATTTGTGAAACTTTAGCATTATTATTATGCAGATGAATTCATCAAATGAATTTCAAATGGTGCGAAACATACATGATAAATTTAACTAGTAGTTTCTGTCTAAGTGTATTTATCATCTGATACACTTAAGTTATGTAAAAGCTTCTTTCTTATTCATGGTAATTTCGAAATAAAATATTACTCAAAACATAAGTAGAATGTGAAAAATTTTGCCTCAATTTCACTTGATCATCGTATTTAATACTTCGATTTATTTCATTTCATCTAGTAACTAATTCATTATAATAATTAGAAGTATTTAGAATTCCCGAAATAGTGCAATTTAAGGCAGGTTTATTTTATTTTATTTTATTTGAAAACATAGATATTGGTACAAGGAGGCACCAAATACATATGCGCAACACAAATCTCATTCGATATGTGTGGGGCTGTGATACTGCCCGGGCGCCCAAACCGAAACAGGTGGTTTTCTTAGGGTGTCACACCCGGAGCCTTCGACCTACAGGTCTGATCCACAAGGCAGTGGAGCATCGTAAGGAGATGCAGTCCCATGGTAGCCGGTGATCAACGATTAGTCCATACGCCATTTGTTCCCGCAGGATACTGGAGCCTATGTGCACGATTGGTTTGGAATCAGAGTTTTCCAACTCCCCTAGGTGAATTTTCCATATCCACCAACCCGGTTAATACGCCAAACATTCGCTTTTCGTCCTCTCAATTTCGTAAACAACACCCCCCGCTGCGAGAAGGCAGTGATTGTGACTTCCCTGGTAGAGGCTATATAAGCGTGACCATGTGAAAGCATTTCGGGAGGGTGGGCGGACTCTCCCCACTCTCGACCGTACCAGGGCATTTGGGGGAATTTAAGGCAGGTTAAACTAAATTAGCACAAATGAACGTATTATATTTTTAATTAGTAATTAGCGGGCCATCAACTTGCAGAGGAATCATTAGTTCGTACAAATAGTGCATTGATACAGTTTCAGTTATCAAACTGTAACCAAAATATGTCTCTTTTAATGTTAATTACCGAAAATCTATTATGTAATGATAGTTTGACAGATTGTTCAACAAGTCACTCTCAGTTGCATTTTTTACCAAAAATTGTATAACTTTAAACATTGAAAATAGTGTTGCTCAGTTTACGACACTACATTTTTCTGTAAACTTATCATGTGGTATAGTACCTTGTTAAAAATGTATATACACTGTATATGAAGACTGTTTCTAAATTCAATTCATAATTCTCTTTCGAATATTTTGCTCTAATTTTCGTACATAATTGGGCAAACATGTATTATTTCATTTCTATTTAGTGAAGATTCGCCATTACACAAAATATCCAACTGTTATCAGATAGTCGTTTATGGAGATTATAGTAATTTTATAGTTGAACTCATGAGTCTATTGAAGCCTAACCACCATGGAAAACCTGGGAGCATTGGACGGAATCTCGCTGGGCGGGATCGTGGATGTGCACTGCTGAGGGGTCCCATACTAGGACAAAACGCCCGTCCAGTGCTTTCAGGTCTTCCTTGGTGGTCTAGCCACAATTGACTCATGAATTGAACTATAAAATATCTATAAGTTTAGGGGTTGTGGAGATTGTTAAGTTTTTGATTGAGATCATGAACCGATTGATGTTAGACAACCATTGAAAACCCGGAAGCAATGGACGACCGTTTCGTCCCATTGTGGGACTCCTCAACAGTGCGCATCCACGATCCCGCTCATGGGATTCGTACCCTGGGTCTTCAGTATTGCGCGCGAACGCTTAACCTACTGGACCACTGAGCCGGTATCCAATGTTGTTAATGTCTAACCTCAACCAGTCCACGAATATCTGATTGTCTTAATCATTTTATAGCATCTTCCAGAATTTCTTACTTTTCATATCCCCTTTTCCGTTTAATTTTATTGTTTGTTATTAAAATACAATTCTATATACGTTTAGAATGGTTACACAGATAGTAAGATGACTGAAAACATTTGTAATATGAATAATGTAATACATTATTGTTATTATCCAGTGTTTGTGTATACTGTAATAGTTTCTATATGCATATGCTCATCTTTATTCATATATAGTGTGACTAAGTGAAAGGTTTTATGTGAATAGTTCACTGATCTGTTTTTAAACTTCATAAGAATTTTTTTTTGAAAAATCAAAGTATGTCTTAGTTGTCTGGTCATGTACACGTAAATAATTTACATGGATGTATCTAAATTTCTCTTGATAACATGTACATTGTTTGTTTTTATGAAAAATGAAAGGCACATATCTTCGAGTAGAGGAGACGAATACTACAATTTACTTGGATAACAATTACAAAATGATTAATTATTTTCATTAATAATTTCTGCATGAAATTCACAATACACATAGTGAACCGTTGTTTTTTTTTAATTTGATTACATAAATACATGCAAACCATTGTTTTGGTGAGATCATGTTAAGCCAATCTACTTGAATGTTAGTACACTAAATTGCAAAACACACGGACAAGTAAATTAACACTTCTATAAGCTAATACATAAAATATATATAAATACATGTCTATGTAATAATCGGATTAGTTTGACCCAGCATCAATGACACGTTTTTGACGGATTATTATTATTATTCACATGTATTGGTATAATAGTACTGTGACCTACCTTATTATTTTTTAAATACAAAATATGAATAATCATTTTTTGTATGCCAAAGATAACCAAACCAATGATCATCAGTATCACTCGGCTGGTTTTTGCTTAACCATAAGTTAAACGTAATAGATTAAAATATAAGGTTTCTAGTGTTCATCTGATTTAATAGTTGATGGCAACTCACATTATGAATCAGTGTTCGAATTGCCTTACGTTATTGGTAAGGACAAGAAGGATGAGAGATGGTCGGAAGACAGTCGCCTTTTTTTTAAATATAAGAATAATAGTAATACTAATCTTCATAGTTTCAGGTCACAATTTTATATCAGCTAGACCGTCTTCGGAAACCTGAGAGCACAGGACGGTTATTTAGTGCTAGTATGGGACTCCTCAGCAATGAGTATCTGCGAATCTAAACCAGGACCTTCTGCCTTGCGCGTAAACTCATACTCTATACCACTGGGCGGGCTTCCTACGGTTTTACTGTCTAATTGTGATCAATTCATGATATTACGCAACCCTCATTCAGGGCTTCCAGGTTCTCAATGATCATCTAGTCATGATCAGTTCATGATTCAAAACTATGGAAATACCACAGTCGCCATGAATCCCCCATACTAATAATACTGATCATTACTTAGTCTCTAAGCTTTTGTACTTGTAAATGAATGATAATGTTTTTAACTATGGCGTCAGATTGTGTTTTAATTTATCCAAGCTATCCCTCTGCTGTTAACTTGCTTTCAAGTAAACTTATTATTTTTTCTAAAAATACTTACAGAAGATTGCATAATAAAATTAAGGAATACTTTAAAGTGGATTGTGAATGCCACCGGAATCCATAGCACACATTTTGTCCTACTTGGGACATGTCATCCTGAATTGTTCGCATCACGATGTTGTGGTTTACATGGATAGTCTAACTTAGTACGAACTCCCTTGATTGCCAACGTACTAACCACTGAGCTACAGAACCCACTTAACCACATGCGTTTGATGAGTATGACGTTTGAACTATTCCATTGTTATTATTAGCGAGTGAATTTGATCAGTCTAGTTCAGGATATATGGAGTCGAACAAATCGTCTCAGCATTGTCATCTAATCACCGATTCTAGTAAAGTTGAACCCTTAGAAATTAATATATATCAAGTATGAATAATTTATCAGTTAAAAATTTACCTTAGTAGTTGGTATAAAGGATTGTTTGTTGCTCTTTTGTCATTTTCAAGTTTTATTAATTGATCACTTGGATTCTCACCTAAACTGTTCCTTAAATGATGGAATTCTGAAGGATTCATATAGGGTAGATTATCTACAGATATAGAAAAATAAACAGACCCTTCAGTGTTATTCATCTAGGAATGTATCAGTAGTACATGTTCTAGATAACTGAACATTTTTGTGTTTGAAAGGAAAATAACACTAATGTAATG